CCTGGAACTCCAGCAGATGGGGACCAGTGGTTCTCTCCCTGTTCCATTCACACTGAAGCCCTCACCACCATGTTGATGCAGGGCCCACGCCTTTTGTGGAAGCCTGGGATGCTCCCTGATGGCCTGATCCTAGGACCAGCCAGGATGCGGGGGGGCAGCTTCGTGCTGTGGTTCTGATTGAGTTGAGATCAGGACTTTGCTGAGAGTGGATGGGGACAGTACATGGGGGGTGGTGATGGAGACGTTGGTTCTGTGAATCTCCGAGCTGATTGGACATGTGTGTTGGTTGCGTAATGAACGAGGTGAGGAAATCTTACCCCCAATGTGGTCTGATGGTTTTTTTAAGTTTTCTTCCTTGTTCCATCATTAAATGGATGAGCCAGAATGACGAGTATGGCTTCTTCCTGTCACCTGAAGGCTTTGGGTAACATAGCTGTGTTTTTAACTGTGACACTTGTCCTAGAAATGTTTGTGACTACTGACGTGGCCACAGCATTTAGCTATCATCCTTGAATTTGCAGAAAAGCCAGCAAAGAAGTGGAGTCCAGTACCCCAGGCTGCCACTCTATTGCTTTGTTCGTCACATTTTTGTTAAACATTTTCTTCGGGGGTGAAATAAACTATGGTTAGCAAGTTTCCAAGCTCAGGATTCAGAATTGCTGTGTCTCAAAACTCCAGCTCTGCTGCCTCTTGCTGTGTGACCTTAGGCAAGTTCCATAACCTTTCTGTACCTCCGTTTTATCATCTATAAAACTAGAACAATGACCCCTCTTTCTGGGATCCTTATGAAATGGAGACATTTCATGGAAACTTCCATGCCTTTTACTGTGGTTAGTAAGTAAGTTCTGTGCTCCAGACCCTACTGTGAACCCTGCCCTCATGGAGCTTAATCTGCTGATAATTAAACAGTCATACAAACCTAAGACTCCTCTGCAGGGACCTGACAAGGGAACCCTGAGGAAGTGTGACCTGAGCTCAGATCTGAAAGATAGCTTCATTTATTGGAGGAACCAGGAAGTCATTCCAGTCCAGGAAGAGGCTCTAGTACAAAGTCCCTGTGGTCCTCAGGTACAAGGAGGCTTTGGATGATTGAAAGACCGAAAGGAGACTGGCATAGCAGGGTCCCAAGGAGAAAGCAGATGACAAGGGGCAGGCCAGCAGACAGAACCCCTGGGCAGAATTTTGTATTAGGATTTGTGTTTAGGATTTTTATCCCTAATTTAAAAGCAAAGGCCAGTCCCTGCGGGTGTTGGGCAAGGGAGGGACATGGTCCAACCACGTTTCCCAGAGACCACTGACTGCAGAGCCACAGGCCTGAGCACGACTCTTTCTGAGGCTGCATCTCGCACACCCCTGTGATGTGTGATAAGGATGTCCTGCCTGTGCAGGACTCCTGACACCCCCACCTGCACCATGATGGCAGTAGAGGTATTGCTGGTGACCTCTGTCACCAGGCCAGGTTGGGAAACTGCTGCTATGGGACCTGTAAGAAGGAAGACATCCCAGATCCACTTTAAAAACAGTTAAAAAAAAAATAAAGTTCCTGAAGAGCTATGACTGTGACTTGGTTTGATTCTGAATTTTGCATTTTGTCCAGGACTTTATTTTGTTTCATTTTTTGGTACTGAGGATTGAACCCAGGGGTGCTCTGCCACTGAGCTTGAGATGGGATCTCACTCAGTTGCTGAGGCTGGCCTCGAACTTGCCATCCTCCCATCTTGGCCTGCACCACTGCGCCCAGGGAGGACTTGTATTTTGTTGAGAATGATAAAGCTAGAACCAGAGCCAGGACATAGGTCAACTCAAACCTGCTTCGTGGTGATTCAGTGATTTACTTCCCACCTGGGTCTGGATGTTTCTGTGTCTCAGAAAAGGCACCAGCACCACCCCCCAGGAGCAGCCTCCTCCCAAATCTTGGGATTCATTGTTATTGGCCCCAGGTCTCTGATTTCAACCCCCGAGGTGTCTCATCAAACACGTGATAGACCAAGTGCCTGAATATATCGACTTCTAGTGGGAACAGTGAGGTAAGCCCAGGTCCCTGGGTGAGATGGAACTGGTTTGGGATCCAGCTGCTAGCTTCCTGTGTGACTTTGGGCAGGGTACTGACCATCTGCTTTTCTCATTTTTTTCCTTTTTTTTTAAATGAAGTTATTAAGGTTAAAATAAAAGATAAAAGACATTAGATACCTGGTACCTACGAGTGCTCGATAGCTGGCAGGACTTACTTCTTCCATATGTGCATGTCCCTCTTACCACTATAGGTACAAGGTGGTTTATAGGGAGATCCTGGGTCCTAATGGGCAGAGGTGTGTGAACTTCCAAACTGTAGCATCATATCATTCCCAGCTTTAGGTAGACAAGATTTTCCACGAATTTCATCTGTCCATCCACTCATCAGCCCAACCATCCATCCTTGCATCTAGCATGGCTAAGTACTTTCCGTGGACAGGTCTAGGAACTAGCAACTGCAAACAGAGCCATGGCTCTCCCTGAATAAAGAAGCAGGAAAAAAATGTCTTTGAAAACAAAAGAGGCAGCACCAACACCCTGGTCATTAAAGGATCTCCAAAGCCAGGTTCCTCCTTTAGAAAGGCTTAGCCTGAAATAGTGCTGTCACCAGCAACAGTTGCTGAGGTCCCCAAGCCGGGCGGAGCAGCGCTTGCTCAGTCCTGCGGTGCAGATGGAGTGAACGGAGTCCCGCCCTGAGGTATCAGGCGTGATGTGTTTGTTTTTGATCCTGAGGAAGCAGGAAGGGTTTATTTATCAGGGCAGAAGATTCCTGAGGATTAGGTCCTCCGCTATCAAGGTCTCAGAGTTTTTATCCTCCTTTTGGAAAGGAAAGAGCCCAAGTGCCTTGGCTGCTGTCAGTATCTCCCCTCATTCTTGCCAGTGGGACCCTCCAAGATGCTCCATAACTTTCAGGTCTGCAATCCAAAATGCTTGGGAGGCCAGAGAGTGGGCAGTGAAGCTATGGAGGAGGCTGGACTTGCCCCTCTGTCTCAGGCTGGTCTTCCCAGCGTTAGAAACAAGCACTTAAGAAGCCTGACTCTGCTCATTGAGTAACTGAGGACGAGAGGAAGGTCCACGGACACAGACCCTGCACACCTGGGCCCTTCTCAGGGCCTTGTGCCAGGCCTCGTGGCGGGGGTGTGGCGGAGCAGCCAGGGGAGCTGTTTCCTTACCTCAATGCTGGGCAGCCCTGAGCTCCTTGACCTCTGGAGCTTAACCTCACATAGCTCCTGTTTGTTCCTCTAATAACTAACAGGGTTGGGATGGAGGATTACAAGAGAACTTCCTAACAATAGCGTCGTATCATTTCAAATCACAAATGTGGCTGATTGCGTTGTTTTTGTGTCTTACTTTTTTTTTTTTTTTTTTTGAGGGTGAGGGTACCAGGGATTGAACTCACTTGACCACTGAGACATCCCCAGCCTTTTTTCTGTATTTTATTTAGAGACAGGTTCTCACTGAGTTGCTTAGTACCTTGCTTTTGCTGAGACTGGCTTTGAGCTTGTGATCCTCCTCCCTCAGTCTCCGGAGCCACTGGATTATAGACGTGAACCACCACGCCTGTGTTTTACTTTTTTTAAATTCAGTTTTTCTAGTTCTCATCAGTTGCACATGACAGCAGAAACCTTTTTGATTCGTTGTATACAAATGGAGCACAATTTTCATGTCTCTGGTCATACACAACGTAGAGTTGCACACGTGCAGTCATACATGTACCTAGGGTAATGACGTTAGTCTCATTCCACCATCTTTCCTACCCTCATGCCCACTCCACTTCCCTCCCTCCCCTTGTCCCAATCAAAATTCCTCCATCTCCCCAACCCCCCACCACCCCTTTGTTTTGCTTTTAAACTGCTGCCTTCCACTAGATTATTATAGAATGCCTTGAAAGGAACCTGCCTTATGTAAGACACCTCCCTTCTATATCTTGGTACCTCCTAAAATATCTAGGAGAGTACTTCTCACACAGTAGTGATTTTAAAGATGTGCTTGATTTACTCACTATATCCTGCATAAGGAGCCCTACATTCACCTATGGTGACTTCTGGAGATAAGATCCCAGTGTAACCATCACGAGTGGCAGTGATTGACAGATGGGAAAAACATTCAAGACGCTCACATGTGGTGTGACAGAAAGTAAATTTCTTTTCTACCTGCAGTTCCTTTCCAATACAATGGCAAAGTGGGATATTAAGACAAAAAAAAATGGATCATTGTCCTGCACTCTTGGAGTCTGAAACCTGTCTCAGTTTGCAAGCTGTCTTTCCATTGCTTCTGGTGGCAGAAGGACTTTGGGGTGTTATATAGTCAGTCACTTCCGACCTCAGAAACACCCAGGTCATGTTATCTACCAGGTCACTGGAGTTTGGACTCCAACTCTGATAGGATGTGTTTGCGTTTGTTGGTATGAATAGTATGTGTGTGTTTGTGTGCCCACTGAGCCCGCCATTTTGCAGTTGTGTGTGACTTCACACTACAGATGATTTGAGAGCTGCTAACTTATTCACACAAGAACTGAAGTGTTTGTGAAAGTGGCAATAGCTTTATCTTTCCAACTCTTGCTAAAGGCCAGCTCCTGTGGTGGTAGGGTGTAGAACTTTTCACAGCTGGTCTCTTAGCTTCCAGGTTAACAGATTTAATGAACTAAAAATTTTAGTGTGTAAGAGGAAAAATATCATCATTATTTTACTTTCTATCCCAGAAATGGGAATATGGAAAACATTATTCATTAGTTTGCAGACAAAGAAGCGCTAGCCTGCAGAGATCCTCAATTCTAACATTTTCCCCATAGGTATTGATAGTGAGGGTCAGAGGTATGCGTGAGTTGAGAGACTTCTCTGACATCTTGAGGTGGGGAAATAATCCCTATTTGGGCTTTAGAAAGGACTGGAAGTTGGGAAGTATGCTTCTTATTAGAAGTCTCTTTGAAGTATGCGCTGTCACCTCTTGGCCATTGGTAACTGATTGATTGTGTCTGTCTTCATTAGCTTGGAATTGCGATTGGGTTCTTGGTCCCTCCTATTTTGGTACCCAACATCAAAGACCAGGACCAGCTTGCCTACCACATCAGCATCATGTTCTACATCATAGGAGGCGTGGCCACCCTCCTTTTCATCCTTGTCATCATCGGTAAGGTCACTAGTGGACTCATGGTGGAGGGTGGACAGGGAGGTTCTGTCAACCTTGATGGGACACTTGTGAGCATGACCCTAACAACCAGGGACATTCACAGAAACTAGAGACCAGGCTTCTTGTGGTTGTCAAATGTTTTAGCCTGACCAGTTGTCCCTGATACCCTGCTAGCTGGTCTTGCACACTTTATTAAAGGCGCAATGAAAGTTCAATTGTAACTAGCCCGTCATACTTCAGCAGAAGAATTGGGTAGATTGCTGGTCCCCAATGAAACCCAAGTGAGGACCCCCCAGGGTCACAGGCTCTGGGCTAAGAATTAGCCTGATCTCATTGAGTCTTCAGCAACCCCAGGAAATGAGGTATTATTTTCAGTCCCATTTAACAAAGAAGAAACTGAGACTTGAGAGAGGTTAAATAAATTATTCAAGATGAAATAGCAACTAAGTGGCAAAGATTAGGTTCAAATCTAAGCTTGTCTGAATTTACTCTAAATTCATGAAAGATAGAAAGGAAAGCAGAAATCAATCCACAAACGCAAATCATCTCAGAGATCAACCTGAGATGACTTGGGAACCACATGTTTTTAATGCTTTTTAAAAATTATAAGAGTAGGGCCTGGGGTGTGGCTCAGTGGTAAAGGGCTTGCCTTGAACACAAGAGACAGTGGGTTTGATCCTCAGCACACATAAAAAATAAATTAAAAAATAAAGATATTATGCCCATGTATAACTAAAATATTTTTTAAATTATAAGAATAATATATGCTTATTATTGCAAAATCTGAAAAATACAAGAAATCGTTAAGTAAGAAATGATCATTAATTGGGCTGGAGGTGTGGCTCAGTGGTGGAGCACTTGCCTCGCTTGCGTGAGGCACTGGGTTCTATCCTCAGCACCACATAAAAATAAATAAATACAATAAAGTTATTAAAAAATAAATGACCATTAATTTTTCCTTATACAAGTTAATCCCAACCACCAACCTCTGAGAACTACTAGGAACATTTTACATGCATCATTGTGATATTTATGTGCATCATTGTGATATTTGACCAATAGAATTTTGTGTCTTCTGCTTTCTTCTGAGTGGTTTTACTTGGGCTGCGATAATTTCAGAAACAATAAAAGTAGAAGTTTGCAATTCCAGTTAGTCACCTGTCTAAAGGTTAATCAGTTCCCTTCCTGATGCCCACAAGTTCCATCTCATACAGTAAAGGTTTCATTCCTGCCTGCTAGCCTCCCCTCCACAGTTAGACATTTGTATAATTTTGCACCTCATTTAACTATTCTCTGAATCCAAAATGAGAACAGGCTGCCCTGTGACTTTTAAAAGTTGGTAGAGCCAGGTGAGGTGGCACATGCCTATAATCCCAGTGGCTCAAGAAGCTGAGGCAGGAGGATTGCAAATTCGAGGCCAGCCTCAGCAACATAGTGAGGCCCTAAGCAACTTAGCCAGAYCCTGTCTCAAAATAAAAAATAAGAAGGACCAGGGATGTGGCTCAGTGTTTAAGCGCCCCTGGGTTCAATCCCCAGCACTCAAAAAACAAATAAACAACAAAACAAAAAAGCTAATGTAGACCTTGTTGTTTCTGGGAAGGTAAGAAGAAGAGGAGCTTTGGATGAGATCAAGGAGGAATGATAGAGCCTAGGCCACTCCCTCAGCTAGACTTTGAGTTTTAAACTGTTAATGTGCTCAGGTCTTATGTTTGTCGCCCATGAAGGTCCGGTTTGCAGTGATTGAAAACCTGGGGAGTAGGGCGTTTCTGCTTTGGTGTTTTATTACCAAACACAGATAGTAGCTAATTAAGCAGAGAATGGAAAAAAATCTTATCTGAGTTCTAGTGTTTACCTGCCAGATCCTTGAGATGACACGTGCTGATGCAGAGTCTAGCAGCCTTGGCCTGGCTTTCTTCCCTGATGGAAGGGGAGGTGAGCTGGGAGACAATGGATGAAGGGCTCCCAGGGGATGGAAGTTATCTGGGACTAATTCCAGAGGAGGAAGTAGGGCTCTGAGGTCAGGGCTGGAGTGTTTTCCGGATGGGGGCTCCTTTGATCTGCCAAGAGAGTAAACCTCATTTTCAGAGCTTCCTCTAACAGGAGAGTCCATAGATCTTTCAGGGGAGTGCCCAGGGGTGTGAATGGGGCTGGGGCCTCGCAGGTTTGCTTAGACTCAGCGGGGGAACCAGTTTATCCAAGGAACTAGTCAAACTGACCCCCACCTCACAAGGGCTGAATGGCACCCAGGGTGGTCACAACAATTTTCCCACAGTCCCTCTCTAACCCTTTTTATCCAAGTTCTTATTCTGGAAGAAGAAGCGTTAATCTTATCTCCTACATGAGATATCTGATTCAGAGTTGGCAAAATTGGGAAGGGACTCTAGGTTTTTCCTTTGGAAGAAGACCCCTTTTGCTTATTAGGGGAATATTCCGTGGTGACCACTGGCCAGGCTCTGTGACTGGGCAGCGCTGTCCCATCTCCCTTGGGAGGAGCTCTGGAGCTAAGCCATTATCTGGGCCCACGGATGCCAAAGCTTCAGTTTTTGCTTCTTTTCCATCCGTGTGATGCTGCTGTGTTTTTTTGGTGTTCTGTGCTATGCTCTTTGCTGGYTGTTAGGGGATTTCTTGGTCTTTGGATACTGCCTGGGGTTCCAGAGGTCATTCAGATGAAGTAATCGAAGGACTAYGTGCTAAGCCTCAGACAAGGAAAAAGAGCTGTCAAAATTGAGCTGAAGAATAAAAATTTCTTTGGTTCTCTTGGCTACTTCTCCGATGATGAATGTGAGCCATCTCTACTGGGTTGGGACCCCAGGAACTTTCATTCATCTCTGTTCTTTTCCTTTCAGTGTTCAAAGAGAAGCCTAAACATCCCCCCAGCAGGGCCCAGTCCCTGAGCTATGCTTTAGCGTCCTCTGATGCTTCGTACTTCAGTTCCATTGTCCGGCTCTTCAAAAACCTCAACTTTGTGCTGCTCGTCATCACCTATGGTAAGGCGCATGTGGGTCCCGGAGAATGGGAGAGGAGAAGCCTGACGAGCATTCGTGTGCCTTACTCTTTCCAAATCTCACATGTGCATGTGACATTGCTCAAGGTTGACCAGAGGAGCCAGCCATGCCTGGGGGCCTTTGCACATGCTGAATGGTCCACTCTGGAGAACCATTCCTTGCCATGTCAGGCGATTTGGCAAATGCCTGTTGTTCCTCCAGGTCTCATCTCAGCATCACCTCTGTAAAGCAGTAATAGCTGACCTTTCCTCTCTTTTCATGCTATTACTTGTATATTTTTTTTGTGGGGGTGGGTAGTGGGGATTGAACTAAGGGGCACTCAACCACCGAGCTACATCCCAAGCCCTATTTTTTGTATTTTATTTAGAGACAGGGTCTCACTGAGTTGCTTAGCATCTTTCTTTTGCTGAGGCTGGCTTTGAACTTTCRATCCTCCTGCCTCAGCCTCCTGAGCTGCTGGGGTTACAGGTGTATACCACTGTCCCTGGCTGGAACTTTTATACTTGTCACTTCTTTAAAAAAAAAAATTCTAGGTCTATTGCCTCAATAGACTGAACTCTGTGAGTGGGGATTTGTGTCTTTTCATTTTATAGTTCCTCTGTGGTAGCCAGCCTCAACTGGCTACTCCAGAAGTCGTGAATGAATGAATGAATGAATAAGTGCATGCATCATACATCTTCATAGGAACTGCTCCTCACTCAACYTTCCCTCATCTTGTAACATTGATGCCTTTTTTTTTTCCCTGAATGCAAGACATCATCCCTCTTTCAATCCATTTTCCTGGTCTTTGGCAAGATTAATTTGAATCTTTGCTGGCATATTGGCTTGCCTTGTCAGTGTGGTGGTTTCTGTGTCTTCTTTCCAACCTTTAATGAGACTATTGAACTGAGAATGGCAAGGACAGAGCCCCACGCATCCAACTAAAGAATGTCTGTCTTCAGATGAGTGCTAGTCTATTAATCAATACTCTTAGTTCAAGAAGTTAGAGACCAGATGGGTTTGGTGGTGCGCATCTGTAGTCCCAGCTACTAGGGATGCTGAGGCAGGAGGATAACAAGTTCAAGGCCAGTCTGGACAAGTTAGCAAAACCCTGTCTCACACAAATAAAAAACAACAACAACAAATTAAGAAGAAAAAGAAAAAGAATAAAAAAGCCTGAGGATACAGCTCAGTGGTAGAGCACTTGCCTAACATGCATGGGTTTAATTCCACTACTGCAAAAAAAAAAAAGTGGAAAATTATAGATCTACCCAATTGTATTGATATCCAACCTTCAATTATTATTATTATTATTATTATTATTATTATTATTATTTGTACTGGGGATTGAACCCAGGGGCACCAAGCTACAGCCCAGCCCATTTTATTTTTTATTTTGAGACAAGTTCTCATTAAATTGTTTAAAGTCTCACCAAGTTGCTGAGGTTGGCCTCAAACATGAGATCAGCTTCAGCTTCCTGGGTTGCTGAGATTATAGGCGTATGCCACCACGCCCAGCTCCAACCTGCATTTGACCACTTACTTTACAGGTTCAACTTAAAATTAAGTAGTTGAAAAATGTCATAAGCTTGTCAGTGGCAGAGCCAGAATTCATATCAAGGTTTGCATAACTCCGAAACCTGCATTCTTCATATCTAGTTCATAATTGCCTAGGTATTTCTTCCTAGAGCTGTGCCCAAGTTTCATTTTAGGCTTATTTGTTTAAAAAAATATTTATTTATTTWTTTTTAGTTGTAGTTGGACACAATATCTCCATTTCACTTGTTTATTTTTATGTGGTGCTGAGGATTGAACCCAGGGCCTCATGTGTGCTAGGCTAGCAGCTCAACCGCTGAGCCMCAGCCCCAGCCCCATCATTTTAGGCTTATTGATTCTCCTTATCTCAAAGTATTCATCTGSTGAGACACTAGATGAGAGTATTGTCATCCCAGCAGAGAAGCACTCCTAAAATTTTCAGATATACACTAAAGTTATGTGACTTCTCATTTACAATAGCTCTAGATGACCAGATTAGTCTTAAAAGTCTCAGTTCACCATTTCTCATATCCTCAAATTTCTCAGTTCTAAGTATGTCTCTGCRTTCATCCATAAGATAAAGACCAAGTTTCCAGCCCTCAGAGATGTCCAACTCAGGAAGGTATGTTTTGCCCATCACTGGGAATTATTCAGGCATAGAGGGACCAACCACTCGGTATGGGGATGTGTGGTGGGAATTGCAAGCTGTCATTGGATACTGAAAGCAAATGGCCTTTGGGGTCCCTTCCAGACAGGATTTCATGGCTCCAAGAACTTTCTTTCTTTCTTTCTTTCTTTTTTTTTTTTTTGAGTTAAATATCTGGAGTCTATTGACCTTTGACCACCATAAACCTTATTGAATCTGACAACAGGATATTGGAGGCCTATCTTAGGATTCCAGGGTAGATAAAGTGCTTAATAAATGTTTTCTGTGGCTGAAGATTATGATCATGATGCCAGGTGGGCAGTGCTCCCATTTCAGAGGTCTTTAATGCTGGAGGCTGTGGTGGCAGAGCCAGGTCACTGACCCATGAAAGCAAGAAACAAAAACAAAATGTCCCAGAAATAGTGTTGCTTCTGCTCATTGAGAGGCTCAACTCTGGGCCACACTGTGGGGAGCTAAGCAGCTCCTCCTGCTTCCCTCTCGCTTGGCTGGCTGCTTGTGTGGTTTTCCTCCGGCAGAATAATTTTAATCCTGAACTTCTGGACACTCTTACTTATTGATTTGGTTAAATGATAACACAGGAAATAAATAGGGAAGCACTTCTTGAATGGTGGGGTAAAGATCTTAGAAAATCTTCTCCTCCATCAAAGTATCAGGAACAYTGGCAAAACCTGTCAAAATCACTTTGTTTAGCACTCTTAACCAAAGGCTTCCAACAATGGGAGTGATGTTTAYACAAGAAAAAGGGCTAGATATCAGCAAGAATATCAGTGAGCTTTGTGTCTTCCTGGGTCCTATTCCAATCCCTTTTCCAGGATCTGTGGTGCTTGTGAAAACCAGCAGCCTCATGACTACATAGCCATGTAGTCATAGAGATGTGAAAACTAGCTGCCTTCCGGCCACTGGARGGAGCAAAATAGGTGTGGAGGACTCTTTCAAGCCCCATCCCCAGGAATTACCAGTAGTTGACTTATTTAACAGGTCCATAGAAAAAGCCCCATTCACAGGACTTATCTTCTTTGATCTGACTTGGATCTTGTTGGTGGGAAAAGCCTCACTTCCAGGGTATTGAAAACAATCAATGGCACTGTTTAACAATGCAGCTGCCTGAGGTGATAATATAGGTGTTGGCCAACAAGAATATGGCCAAAAATCTTAAGAAAGAGATGTCTAAAGCATCTAAGAGATGCTTTGAAAAGCTTTGACTTGTTCTTAGGAATTTGGAAGTTCACATGCATATGCTGAGCTCATGCACAGGAAAGACCTGATAAAACCCTAAACTTTCACCTYTGGCTGGCTTCAAGGATCTACAGAGGCAGGAATTAAAGGTTASGACAAAGTTGTCAATTGGTGCTCACTTCAGCAGCACATATACTAAAAAATGCTGTTAATTGGTTGCTGGAGAATTGAAGGTGAGCCTCACCCAATACATACACAGAGTTCCTTGGCAAAGGTGGGCAACCTATTGATTTGAAGCATTTAAGTAGATCTCTGTCTAATCATTAGCTTATCATTAAGGTTACAGCAGAAACTTCAGTGGCTGTATGAGWCAGAACAGACTTACAATGTCCAATTTTCAACAAAGAATCATAAGGCATTCAAAGAGACAGGAAAGTATGGCCTRTACATAGGAAAAATAGAAAAGCAAAAACTATTAGGAAATCCAGACATTGGACATAGTAGTTAAATGTTGTAAATCAATTATTAAAGGTAAATTCAAAGAACTAAAGGAAATCATGCYTAAAGAATTAGATAAAAGTATGAAAATGAGTCCTCATTAAATAGAGAATATCAGTGAAGAGACTGAAATAAAAAAGAATCAAGTAGAAATTCTGGAGTTGAAAAATACAGTAACTAAATTGAAAAGTTCTCCAGCAGGCTCAAAAGTAGATTTGAACTGGAAGAAGGAAGAATCCACAAACTTGAAGATAAGTCAAATGAGATGTCAGGTCCAGGAACAGAAAGAAAAAGAATGAATAAAAATGTGCTCAGCACTGTGACATGTACCTGTAATTTCAGAAACATAGTGAGACCCTGTGTTGGAAAAAAAAAATGCAGTCTGGGGAGTGAGTGCCCCTGAGTTCAATACACCACACACACACACACACACACACACACACACACACACAAAGTAAAGAAAAATGAACTGTGAGACATCATTAAGAATACCAACATATGCAAAGTGGAAGTCTCAGAAGGAGAGGAAAAAAAGGAGTGAAAGTAAACTGAAATGGTGGTAAACTGAAGTGGTGGTAAACTAAAAACGAGTTTTGCTGTGAGGCTGGAAGCATTTGACTCTGTTGTGCATAGATAGAATTTATCAGCCAATTTCTCAAAGGCCTGGGATTATTCCATGGAGATCGAGTTAAACTAACTGGGATCTTTGTATGTATTTCATTATAGTCTTATTTCCACACTAGAGGATTGAACTAGGTGACAGAGAGTTCTTTGTCAACAAGGAAATGATTCTTTCGTTTRGTCAGAGATTTGAAACTATATTTTTATCAAGCCACGGTGTCAGGCATCATGGTCAGCGCTTTGCACACATTATSTTATTTAATCTTCAAAACAAACTTATGACAAATAGGTATTGTATTCCATTTTATACATGAAAAAAAAGGACAGGCTGAGATGTTTAGTCCCTTGTCTGCCWTAGGACAGCTAGCAAATTAATAGAGATCAGGTTTCAACTTCTCTGTCTGACGCAAACCATTGTACTATTTTGCCTCCCCATACAGAAAGGAACCTTTTAGRGGCAGAGCCAGGGGTATGCTCTTGTCCCTGCTTGCCTCAGTTTTYCTGC